CTCTCCTACATAAGCAACTAGAATAGTAGGTATTCAATAAATATTTGTTGAATAATGAATATATAAAATGAAGCTGACCTCCATTATGAGTTTATGATTCTTTTAAAGCAATGGTTCTCAAAATGTGGTCCTAGACCACACCATCAGCATCATTTAAGGACTTGTTAGATATACAGATTCCCAGGCCCCATCCCAGAACCTAATCAGAAACTGTGTATAATAAGCTCTCCAGGTGATTCTGATGCATGTACAGTTTGAACACCACTGAATCCAAGCATCTACAACTCTATAATACCCAACAGGGCAGGTAGTGGGCACACAGTAATATGTATTATTACTTTTTAAAAAATATTTATTTATTTATTTGGTTGTACCAGGTCTTAGTTGTAGCACTCAGGATCTTGAATCTTCATTGCAGCACGCAGAATCTTTAGTTGTGGCATGTGAACTCTTAGTTGCAGATTGTGGGATCTAGTTCCCTGCACAGGAATTGAACCCAGGCCCCCTGCATTGGGAGCATGGAGTCTTAACCACTGGACCACCAGGGAAGTTCCTACAGTAATACTTATTAAATGTATAGACTTCAGGGGCCTGCAGACAGGCCTGAAGGCTGTGACCAGGATGCTGGTTTTGCCTGCTAAAGATAACAGGAACATGTCAAACTTCAGTCCCTTACTACTTGGAATGCTATGGAACTCTTCAAAAGCTGACTCAAGAGTGGTGGACAAGGAGCTCCCAAGGACTGAAGGGTGAGAGCAGGAGCCCCCCCAGAAACCTGCAGCGGGAAGCTGCCGTCTTCTCCTTCAATCTAGAACAGTAGCCGCAGAGCAAGCTAACAAGCCTGAGGAGGCTCCAAAATAAAATGAAACCATGCCTAAGCCAGTGACCAAGGGCTGAAGGGCTGGGCCTCCTGGCAGCTGCAAATACCCATAAGCTGAAAAGACACCAACTGTCCCCACGTGCTAGGCACAGATGCAGGAAGAATGCTTTGTGGAAAGAAAAGGCGTTTGTGTTTTATGACTCTGGTCAGACTGACAGCCATCATTTTCTTCTGGGCCAAACCTCCAAATTAACAGCCAAAGCCCAAAGCACCTAGCTTTCTGCTTCCCTAAGCTCTTTGTGTGGAGAAGGCAATGGCACCCCACTCCAGTACTCTTGACTGGAAAATCCCATGGACGGAGGAGCCTGGTAGGCTGCGGTCCACGGGCTCGCTAAGAGTCGAACACAACTGAGCAACTTCACTTTCACTTTTCACTTTCATGCATTGGAGAAGGAAATGGCAACCCACTCCAGTGTTCTTGCCTGGAGAATCCCAGGGACAGGGGAGCCCGATGGGCTGCGGTCTAAGGGGTCACACAGAGTCGGACATGACTGAAGTGACTTAGCAGCAGCAAGCTCTTTGTGATGGACAGGGAAGCCTGTCCGTCTTCCCTGGTGATGGACAGGGAAGGTACCGCATCTTCCCTTGGTGACGGACAGCGAAGCCTGGCATGCTGCAGTCCATGGGGTCGCAAAGAGTCAGACACAAGTGAGCAACTGAACTGAACTGAAGCTCTTTGTGAAAGAATAGCAAAGGAATGCTCTAATATACTTCATAAATTCCCAAAGGAATGGGGGCCCTAGAAGGAAACACATTAATCAGTCACCTACTGTGTACCCTGCTCCCACCATTCCATTGTCTGCACTGCAACCACAGGGATTTTTTGTACAATAAAACGCAGTTCTGGTCTCTCACGCCCGAGATTAACTCTTCAATGGCTTCCCATTGTCCCTAGACAAAGACCAAACTCCACAGCCAGACAGAGGAGAGCTCTCAAAAGCGGATGCTGTCTCTCTGAGCTCCCTTCACCTCCTCTTTTTCCCCCTCTGTCGCTCCTCTGCTTCCACTCCAAGCTCAGGCCATCTAAGCAGCTTTCACATGCCCCCTCTGCCGGGCCTCTGCATATGCTCTTCCCTCCACCAGTCACGCCTTTTCTTCCCCACCCCCAGCCCCAGCCCTTATCCCTCAGTTCTTCCTGGTAAATTTTAATCCTCCTCAGATTTTATTCCTGCTGTCCCAGAACTCCATCTTGACCAGCCCCCAACCAGGCACACATACAGACACACACACAAACTTCCCAGGTGGCACTCGTGGTAAGGAATCCACCTGCTAATGCAGGAGATGCAGGAGACACAGATCAAACCCTGGCTCTGAAAGATCCCCTGGAGAAGGGAATGGCATCCCACACCAATATTCTTTCCTGGGAAATCCCAAAGACAGAGGAGCCTGGTGGGCTATAATCCATGGGGTCGCAAATAGTCAGACACAACTGAAGTGACTTAACACACATCCTCGAACTCCATCTTGACCAGTCCCACAACCAGGCACAAACACACAAATACACACAACATACAGTTAAACTTTCTAAGTGGTTACAAAGCTCCTTGCCATTCTTCCATCATACATGAGTGGCCTACAAACTTGAGACTCTGGCACTAAACTGCCTAGATTCAAAGCCCCACTCCACCACTTAGTAGTTATCATCTTGGGTAAATTATTTGAACTTTCTGAGCCCCAATTTCTTCATTTGTAATGAGATGGTATTGTATTGTGAGGTTAAAAGAATTCAGTGTAGTTCATATATGTAAAGGCACAAGGTAAGAACTATCTGTGAACTCTATGTCAGAGACAGAAGGGTGTGCTATTATTCTTTCTGTACTTAACACAGTGTATAATTGTTTGGACAATAGCCAGAGTGCAGGGAGGGAACACCGTCTTCAGGGCAGACATTGCATACACATTTGAAGAACGGATGACAGCTCATCTGTATTTCCACTGTCTGTGGGTCAGGAAGATACCCTGGAGAAGGAAATGGCAACCCATTCTAGCATTCTTGCCTGGGGATCTCCATGGACAATGGAGTTTGGCAGGCTACAATCCATGGGGTTGCGAAGAGTCAGACATGACTGAGCAACTAACACTTTCTCTTTTCACTTTTACACTGCCTCACAGTGGCTGCCATTCTAGAGGGTAGAAAGTATTAGCTGATTTGTTCCAGTGGGAATTATTAATTAACATCAGCATAAGCAGGAAAGTCTTAACTATTTTCTAACTAGTGAAGCAAAAGAAGAATACAAATGGCCAATAAACTCATGAAAAGATGTGCAGCATCATTCACCATTAGAGATTCATGAATCAAAACCATAATGACCTACTATTTCATATCCACTAGGATGGCTATAATCAAAAAGGCATACAATTACAAGTGTTGGTGAGAACATGGCAAACCAGGAACTCTCATATATTGCTGTGGGATTGTAAAATGGTGCAGCCACGTTGGAAAACAAGTTTGGCAATTCCTAAAAAAGTTAAACATAGTTACCATAGGACCCAGCAGTTCCACTCCTAGGCATATATCCATAAGAGATGAAAACATACGTCCACACAAAACCTTGTATATGAATGTTCATAACATCATTATTCATAATAACCAAAAAGTGTAAATAACTCAAAAGCCCCTCAGCTAATTAATAGATAAAATGATATGGAATATTATACAGCCATAAATAGGAATAAAGAGCTGATACATGCTACAGCATAAATGAACCAATGTAATGTGAAAGAAACTAAAGCCAAAGGCTGCAAATGGCAAGATTCCATAAAGAGACAAAAAGTAGATCAGTGGTTACCTAGACCTGGAGGGAAAAGGAGTGATTGCTGATGGGTTTCTTTTTTTGGAGTGTAGAAAATATTCTAGAATTAGAGAGTTGTGATGATTTCACAACTCTGTGAATATACTAAAAAAAAAAATTGAATCATACACTCTAAATGGGTGAATTGTATGGAATGTAAATTATATCTCAATGAACCTGTTTGAAAAAGAAGCAGCAACTGAAACAATATGAGAATGAATATTTCTCAGTGCTTGCTATGTGCCACGTCAAATACTAACCAGCTTTTGTATATACACTCACTGTCTGGAATTTTTTAAAAGGCAAGAAAGACTAAGAGTACCTTTTAAAAGATAACCTCAGGAATCTTAGCCCCGCCTCAAGCACAAAACAGATGTTAACAAATAGTTCTCTTTACTTAACCTGGTGATTCGAGAAGAGAAGTGTGGACACAGACCTAGGACCATAACAAAGTCTGGGGAAGGAGAGCAGCTTGGAGCTGGAAAAGGGGCCTATTAATCCTAATGCTAAACTGGGGAAGCTGAGAGAGGTGCTGTGATCTTGTTGCAGATTCAAGGGCAGGAACTGTGGACACCGTGCATGGGGCGAAGCTGAGTGACTGGCTCTGGACTACCTCCTGCCCAGGGGGTTTTTTATAAGGCCATAAGGGGAGGGTGGTAGTTAACTGGTACAAATCCTGGACTTGGATTGTTCGGGTTCCAAAATGATCTCGCTTAAACAAGTTTCTCAGCCTCCATGGGCTCAAGTTATCTCACTGGCAAAATAAGGGTAATGATAATACCTACACAGAAAACTGTAGTTAAGAATTAAATAAGCTCGTTACATGGAAAGCACTGAGAACCACCCTGTAACAACTCCATAAATGTTAGCGGCTGCTATCGCCACCTCCATCATCATCATCATCGAGAGGCATGAATGACTTGACACCCAAGGGCCTTGCCAGAATGGAGACAGACAGGCAGACACTAGCATTTACTCTCGGGGGTCTGCTAGGGGGCCAGCTCTTTACGAAGATTTAGCGCGTGTTACTGCGCAGGGCAGAGAAGGAGTGGGTGATCTGCTCCAACCCCGCTGCGCAAGGTCCCAGGAAGATTCCAGCCCACCAGGCAAGTAAAAGGGCCGGCAGGCTCAAGGGCCCCCGCAGCCCCCAGGCTGAAGGGATTAAGGGTCGGGGGAGCTCTGGGGTGAGAAGAGGGAGAGGGAGGAGCGGGTTCGAGGGGCGGAGCTGGGGGAGGTCCGTCGGGAGGGAAAGGCCTGTCCGGAGACTGGGAAGCCGGAAAACGGGCGCTGCAGCCTTGGAGGTCTGGCTGGCGCGCGGGGCGCGGTACCTGGAGTCGAACTTCTGGCCGTCGGGGAACGTCCCCACGTAGTGGTAGCGCACGAAGTCGCCGCTGCGCACGGCGCGCGGACATTCATCCGGCACGAAGCGCCGCTCGATCTGCAGCTCCGAGTCCGAACCCAGCCCCAGGCCCGCCACAGGGGCCGCCTGCCCGGTCACCCAGAGGAGCAGCAGGAGCAGCGGCGGCGGCGGGGGCCGCCAACTCCGGGCCCTGATCGCCATCGGGGGCGAGGAGAGGAAGGGGCGCGGTGGGGAGCCTCGAGGGCGCGCGGAGCTCGGGCGGCGCGGGTCGGGCCTGGATGTGCAGCGGCCTTTGCAAACGTGGAAAAGACTCCCGGCCCTCCCCGGGCTGCAGCAGCCACCCCCTCTCTCCCGCCCCCCGCCCCCCGGCCACATCCAAGGGAAGGGAGGAGCCGCGGCCGCGCGCCAGGAGAGCCTTGCTGCGCCCCGCGCCGCCCGAGCCGGCCGAGTCCCGTGAGCTGGCCCGCCCGGGGAAGAGGCGGGCCTTCTGGAAGTTCAAAGGGATCAGTCCCCGAGGGAGAAATCAAGAACTCTTTGGGATTGGGCTGCGATCCACAGCTAAAAGAGAAAGACTTTTCTGGCCCAGGCAAACCCGCGGATCTCTGCCTTCCCCTAGAGACTCCGGATTTAGGGCCCCTAGAGGCTCCTACGTGGCCGCGGATCCAGTTACCCTTTGCTGATTTGGGAAGGGAGGAAAACTTTTTAAAGAACCGTTGTTTCAAGGCTGGATTCTACGTTGAAACAGACTGAAGCCAGCTTCGAGATTTCTTTCCCCAGGATTTTCTTTTAATACTTAAGAGAAAGGGGAGACTCCGTGACAGTTGCCCAGAGGAAAGTTTTAGGATGTTGTGAGTGATACTTAATGGCAAACATCCCACATGGTCCCACCCCCGTGACTAAGGCAGTTAAGACTTCACATTACAGACCCAGATTCTGCGGGGAAATTTACTAGACTAGTTAAATGCTTTCTTGGTTTAGAATTGTTTGTTCTTATTTATTGAAACTTGGACTAATGAAAGCAAATCACCAAAGGTTTGTCAACTTGTTTTGGAAGCAAACAATCCCAATACCAAAACCTGGCAAAGATAGCAATGGAGAGAGAAGCTGGGTACCAACCTAATTTCTAACTAAAAATGCTAACAAATGGTGAGTAAATTGAATCCAACTTATTAAAGGGAAAAAAAATTATGTGGACTATCTAAGTGACCTGCAAACTAAGTCAGTGTCCTCTGTAAGATGAAGATAAAATGTGATAATTGTTTTAAAAATTATAATTATTAGAGTATTAGAGATTTTATTAGATTCAGGATCTAATGAGAAGCTACATGTAGCATTAAAGAAATGTCCATTATTCCTAATAGAGCTTATTTTATTGAAATAGAAAACCTACTAAAACAATTCAACCACCGGTAAGTTGAATTTGGGGTGATGATTTGCTTCCTTCTACCGACTCGATGGACATGGGTTTGAGTAAGCTCCGGGAGTTGGTGATGGACAGGGAGGCCTGGCGTGCTGCGATTCATGGGGTCCAAAGAGTCGGACATGACTGAGCAACTGAACTGAACTGAACTGATGTACTTTTCATTAGTTCTTTATGATTTTTAATAACTCTGCCAGGTTTTACACAGAAACAAACAAAAAAGTCAGCCTGGTTCCAGTCAGGAATCTTGCAGTCCCTTGCTGTGACTGTGGGCAACACATGCTACCTAGCTGGGCCTTGGTTTCTTCATCTGCAAAATGAAGGGGTTGATTTCTAAGGCTTCCAATCCTAAAATTCTGTGATCCTATAAGCGAGAAGACACTTCAGCATGGGTAAGCAGACAGACATAGGAAGAAGCAGGTCAGGCAGTGATTGCAGCTTCCACTTTTCCTCATAGTGCTTCGCAGGGGTTTAATTTCTAGTCATTCCTTTTATTTTGTTTATTTATTTATTGGCCACGTTGCACAGCCAGGGCTGGACCTTGGGCCCACAGCAGTGCAAGCAGTGACCCCCAACCACTGAACTACCCAGGAATTCCCTTGTTATTCCTTTTAAAATGTTAATTATCTGATCAAACAGTGTGTGTCTACAATGTCTCTTTAAATCCTAACAGATGCTCTTTGAACTGGATTTCTGTAGCAATCTACCAAAGAGAAAATTTACCTCTTGGTACGACTGATAACATCAACCTAAGAACTGATAAAATCAAGCTGAAATTTTAAAAAAAAGGTTTCCATTAAACTTCTGGGGGTGACATTGTGAGAACTGGTCAAGTTTAAAAACTGTGAATCCAGTCAAGAAGAGTCAACAGTAGGCTAAAAGCTTAGAAAGGTAAAGATAGGAGAAAGAGACAGGTTGGTGAGAGACAGGAACCAGAAAGAAGGGAAAGGTACTGGAATGTTTTTAAAGGGTGAGGGGAGAAGTGAGAAAGATAGCAAGAAGGGAAAAGTAGAAGGTGAGAATCAGTGAGAGAACAGAGCCAAGGAACAAGAGGATGTGTGACACAATCAGAGGCAAGGACATAATAGGAGAAACATACAAAAGGTCTGAGGCCAGGATGGAGCTGTGGAGCATCCTGGAGGAAGAACTGAAGGGGGATTTGAAATAGGGTCAGTCTGAGTATCAGAAAACTAGGTTCTTTCTCAGTTCAGTTCGGTCACTCAGTCATGTCCGACTCTTTGCAAGCCCATGGACTGACTGCAGCACGCCAGGCCTCCCTGTCTATCACCAATTCCCAGAGCTTGCTCAAACTCATGTCTATTGAGTCAGTGACACCATCCAACGATCTCATCCTCTGTCGTCCCCTTCTCCTGCCCTCAATCTTTCCCAGCATCAGGGTCTTTTCCAATGAGCCGGCTCTTCGCATCAGGCGGCCAGAGTGTTGGAGCTTCAAAGGTTCTTTCAATCCAGCTCCATACAAGAAGTTAGTGGGAAAATTAAAAACATAATCTGGCAAGTAAAACTAGGCACTAAAGAAAGAATTCCACTTTTCATTGAGCCTGAAATAAAGAAGGATTCATGCATGAATCAGATCTTCCAAAAGCAGTAAACCCTGGAGGCTAAGCTATGTAAGCTATTAACTTTAGCTCGGTACATACTGAACCAGGGATAAAGAGGCCAGTATTCATCTGAGCTGACCTGAAGCAAATGTGAAGTAGCAGTGTCTTTTCTCCCTTCCCAGGATTTTCCAAGAAATTCTCCCACCTTCAGTATTGGACAACACACCTGGAGTTGCTATGTGGTTTGATGAAAAATCCTGGACTAGAAATCAGTCCGACCTGCTTGTAGGGCCACCCATCCCCCTATTCTCTGAGCATCACTTTCCTTATTTGTAAGATGTCTTGCCTGTCTCCAGAGAGTTTCTGTGAGGATCAAGTGAAGCAGTTTAGGAGGGGTGGAAATCTGCAAAGTCATATGGAAATGTAAGGAATAACATTTATCTATGAGTAATAGAAAACAACTCAAAAAGCACTTAACCCATACATACTGTCTCTCAGAAGAGGAGGTCTGGATGGGAAGCACCTGCAGGAGTGGGTAATGAAGTGTCTCTAGAACAACTTCGGGTGCTCTGGTGACTTCCTTTCCTTTCCTCCTCAAGGGGTTTGCTGCTGCCCCTTGTAATTATAAGATGCCTGCCCTAGATCCAGATACCACCTGCAGAGAACACCATCCTGAGGCAGAAAGGGGACTTTTTGTCTTTCCAGGTATCATTTATTAAGAGCAAGGACAGCATTTCCAGAAACCCTGCCTCCTACAGCCCTCCCATCCTGCCTCATTGACTGAAATTGCATCCCATGCCCATTGCTAATCTATCTATCAGTGGAAGAGAAATCGCGTTACTATGATTGGTTTAAGACTAATTAAGATTCATTTCCAGAGAGGAGGGAAAGGGCCTCCACTGAAGTAGATGGCCACCTAAGCTTCTTGTACGAAACCAGAGTGGTGTGCTCAAGGAAATGAAGGGGGAATGGCAATTAGTTTGTCAACCAGTTTTTTTGGCACAGATTGCTAATTATGTTAGCTGTCTCCCTTTTCCCTTCCAAGCATCAAAGAAAACACGTTGTCTGCAATTTTCCCTCCAGTCCTGTTGGTGACTAGATAGAATGCCAGTTGAAATGATTACAAATAGGACTTGCCTGGTGGTCCAGTGGTTAAAAATACGCCTATCAGTGCGGGGGGAACGCAGGTTCGATCTCTGGTCCGGGAAGATTCCATATGCAATGGGGCATCTAAAGCCCATACACCATAACTGGGCCCACGTGCTGCAGCTACTGAAGCCTGATCACCCTAGAGCCTGTGCTCTGCAGAACCACTGCGAGAAGCTCGTGCACCACAACAAGACTGTAGTCCCCGTCACCACAACCAGAGAAAAGTCCAGGCACCAATGAAGACCCAGCACAGCCAGAAATAAACAAACATTTAGGGGGAAAAAAATAATAAGGCTTCAAACCTATCCAGTAACACAGTCAGGACTAGCTGCAGCCACCCCTCTACAATCAGACCAACACCAAGACCCTCTTGTTGGCCTTGAGGGTGAATCTGCCATCTTAGGATGAAGCAGAGGGGTAGAAAAGACTGAAGCTGAGGATAGAACAGGGAGGGACAATAAAGAAAGCATCGCTCACTCACTGGGCTAGGTGCCCTGGTACAAACTGAAGGGTGACTCCATGTGTGTTCACAGTTGGGTAATACTCACTTTACTGTCTATTTCTGGAAAGGGACTGTACCTGCACACCCCTCCAAGTATAAGCATAAACAAAGGATGATAGGTAACAATAATGATTCAGAATCATAACCACCAGGATAAGAATTCCCATTTGTCTCATGCTTACTAGATGCTATTATACTGAGTTTATCAAAATCAGAAAATGGGGCTGAATGTAAGGGATGGCCCTGGGTAATAAAGAATTGCTAAGGCAATGAATATAATATATGGAATTCTTACTGAAACTGAGAAAGGGAAAGTTTCTTCCAGCTAGGACTGCTAATTTGTTGGCCATCTTTGGCTTCCAGTGGCCATCTTTTTCCCCACATGGGAGAAACTGCAAAGAATGAAGCAATACAAAGGAAAGTAAAGCTGAGAGAGAACTTACTAACTATAACATTTTAGCACCTAGATCCAGCCATTCCTGAAGTTTTATCCTATGACATTTCACATATGTAAGTCAGTAAATTCCTGAATTTTATTTTCTTAGAACAGTTTCATTTGGGGACTTCCCTG